CGGCCCCGTCCGCCGCTCCGCCGGTGCCGCCGTTGCCGGGAGCGCGGGCGCCGCGGCGGCCGCTGCCCCAGGCCCCGCCCCCTCCCCGCCATTGGCCGGCCGGGCGATGCGCGCCATCCCATTGGCGGCCGGGGAGGGGGGATGCATGACGTCACCGCGGCGGGGCCGCCGGGGGCTGCGGTTGCCATGGCGACGCGTGGGTACCACCCGTGGCACGTCCCGGTGTGCCCGGTGTGTCCCGGCGTGTCCCGGCGTGTCCCCGCGGGGCGGGGCGGGCCAGCGGGACGGGCACGGGGAGGGGGCCCGGCAAAGGGCCGGGGGCACCGGGCAGGGCCGGGGCCGCTGCGGGCCCGCTGACCGCGTCCCGCCGAGGGCTCCCCGCGGCCATGGCGCCCGCCTGGCCCTGGCTGCTGCTGTGGCTGGGCGTTCTCCGCGCCCTCCCGGCCCCGCCGCGCATCCGGCTGCCGCTGCGGGGCGGCGCGGCCCCGCCGTCGGGGCTCCGGCAGCGCCGGGCGCCGCTGGACACCGAGCCCGACAGCGCCGGCAGCTTCGTGGAGATGATCGACAACCTGCGCGGCAAGTCCGGGCAGGGGTACTACGTGGAGATGACGGTGGGCAGCCCCCCGCAGAAGGTGAGGTGGGAGGGCATCCCCGCATCTCTCCATCCCCCGCGTCTCCCTCGTCCCCCGCATTCCCGCTGCGGGGCTGCGGGGCGCAGAGCAGAGGCGCTGCGGGTGCCACCATGGCTTCGAGTGGCTCTCGCCGCACGGCCCGGGCAGCATTCCTTCTTCTCATCGCTCCGGTGATGCTTTCCCTGCTGACTTTCTGCTAAAACTGGCCGCGGGCTCCCGCCGAAGGTGACCCCAGCGCTGCCGGGGCTGCCCGGGCGCTCCGGGCGGGGTGGCCGGTGCTGCGTGTGCCTCTACGTGCGGGCGAGCCAGGCTGCATCGCTCCATCCCTCCCTTCCCGCTCCATCCCTCCCTCCCTCCGTGCCTCCATCCCTCCCTCCGTGCCTCCCTCCCCGCTGCCGAGGCGGAGGATGCCGCTGGAGCTGGCGCGGGCTGTGGGCGGCAGGGCGGTGGGATGTGGCTGCGCAGCCCCGTGCCCGCCTGGAGCGGGCACATGCAGGCACGGAGGAGCCCACGGCCAAGCCGCGCTTGGCAGTTCCTCCCAGCACAGCCCCGGGCTCTGCCTGCTGCTCCCGCCCGGGGAAATTCTCCAGAAATCCTCCCGAGCTCGGCTTTCCCGGGGACCTCGTGAGGGTTTTAGCTGCGCAGGAGTTGGGGCGGCGTGGGGAGGCAAAGTGCAGGGAAATGGGATGGCCTGGGTAGAAAGGGAGCCCACAGAGCCGGCAGGGCAGGCGTTGGTGCGTCATCAGGCTCTGATCCTGCTCCATCTTTTTGTCAGCATCCCTCACATGCTGCCCAGCTCATGTGGCACCGTGTGCCTGCGCCTGGGGACAGGGCAAATGCTGAGGGCCAGGTGCCAGTCACACAGCACAGGGCAATCAGCTCCTCCCCTCTCTTATGGATGAGATTGGAGAGGTTCCTGCTGCTAAATCCTTTTGTGCCCATCCTGATCCCCGTTGCCACCAGCAACAAGTCTGGCCCAGGGGTCGAGCTCGGTGATCGAGGCTCCAGGTTCCTCCAAGCACCGAGCCACATTCCCTCATGCCTGCCATCACCACTTTTTGGGTGCTGCCAGCACAGCCAGCACCCACACAGGCTCTGAAATAAAGGCTGGCTTTCCCCACGAGCTGGCTGTGCTCTGTGTGCGTGGTGGGAGAGAGCGATGGGAGCAAGAAGTGGATGGAGGAACGATACCACTGCCTTGGAAATTGCATCTCTGGGAGCACTATTGTGTTGTCCCTGTGTGCCTGGCATGTATTGCCTGGCAGGGTGTGTTTAGGAGGAAAAAAAAAGGGAGGAGATTATTTCTAAAGTCTGGTTTTAAACGTGATTTCATCATCTCCTGCCTGCCACGTGTCGCAGCTGCCAGATAATTTCCGTGCGAACCACCTGTTCCAGGCACCCGCGCGTTCCGGAGCCTGTCACCCTTTGGGCAGCATCTTCCAGCCTTGGATTGCTTCCAAATGCAAACGTGGTGCCTGTGTGTGTGTGTGTGTATGTGTGCTGGAGCAAAATCCCTCCAGGCATTGCAATGGAATGAGAGGATTCCTGTGAAAAAGTTCGCCTGTGCCTCTGCAGGAAATTGGGAGTGTGTTTGCCTCGGGGTGGGTGCATCCTTCCCAAAGGCTCTCACGTAGCAGGGAGATGGTGATCTATCTCCTCACCTTTCCTTTCACCTTCCTGATGCTGACAAGGAAGTTTCTGTATCCCCTTGTGCTTTAATTTTGGTTCTGAGCCGTGCTGCGCTGCCAAGTCACCGTCAGCAGCTGATTGCTCACACATTCCGTGTGTCCAAGCATGTTGGTTTCCCTGGCTCCCCAGAACGGGCTGCTTCATAAACACACAGGGGAGAGGGGTGAGCTGGGCAGCAGGAGCCGGTGTTTTGGGACAGATGGCACAGGCTTGGTGCCCCAGGAGCAGCACACAGCTCTAGGGACACGCCTGGCGCAGAGCCAGTGCTGCTGCTGAGGTGCCTGGAGGGGCTGTCACTTCCAGGGACAGGTTTCAGCCAGTGTCCCTGCCACACATGTCTTGGCCTCCCCAGTTCACGTGCCATGTCCTGGCCTGAATGGATGGCTAGGCTGAGTCTCGAGGATCTGGGTCCCCTCCACGTGGGTCCTGTGCGTGACCCCTTCAGCAGGATGGAGCCTGTGAGAGTAAAAGCCCTCCCTGCCTCCTCTCCCTGCAGCGTCAGCTCAGCAGGTCCTTCTCCAGGGAAACCAGTCTCCCCTGGGTGCCCTGGGGATTGCAGATGAGCTGTGTGGAGCAGGTGGCCCCTAATGGCACAGAACCAGGAGCAGCCCTGGGAATGGCACAGGTGCCGGGTTGCCAGGCTGTGTGGTGGGTGCTGAGCTGGCACCCGCCCAGGGTGGGCACTGGGGGGGTGAACGTGCTGCTCTGATCTTTACCCATGGCCTGAAACGTTCCCCTTGGCAGGGAGGTGGAGCTGGGGCACTCAGGACACGCCAGCCCCTGTCAGGGAGAGCGCTCGGCAGCTGCAGCCGGTGCTGCTGCGATTAACACAAGCGCATTAACCTCCTTCCTCTGCCTCTGACTCCACAGATTAGGGGCCAAAGCCCTGGTGCTGCTGCCCCGGGTGCTAGTGAAACAGCTCCTGGGTCTGGGGCCAGGGCTTACCCCGAGCTCTGCTGCCCAGCACGGCCAGGAGGCTCGGACAGCCCCGCTCCCACCCCGGCAGTCCCACCGGGGCAATCCCACCCGGCCATCCCACCCCTCTCCTCCCCAGGGCCACAGGCACGGGTCGGCTGAGGGCAGGATCAGGCTGGCCCGCTCCTGCCCTGCCAGTGGGATGTTTGCCAAAGGTGGTAATCCTGCCCAGGCAGGAATGAGTCGGGAGCAGGGCTCGGCATATGGGTGGCGATTAGCGGGCGCAGGGACCCGCGGGGGCTCCCACCAGCGATCCTTCCCACAGGCTGTGCCAGCAAATCTGCTTTCCTGTGTTGCTGCTGCTGCTCTCCGGCCCCAAGACACCTGCCAAGTGGTTCCTGAATCCTGCCTGTGGATTTGGGGGCTGAGGCCAGCCCTGAGGCAGGGCTCACGCTCTGTTTGCACAGTGCTGGATGGTGTTTGCTCTTTGTGCAGCTCCCTGATATCACTGCCTCCTGCTCCACCACCTCCTTCTCTCCTCTCTGGGCACAAAAAAAGGGGGTCCCAGTGCACTCATGAGCCTTCCTGTCTTTCTTCCTTCTCCAGCTGAATATCCTGGTGGACACAGGGAGCAGTAACTTCGCTGTGGGAGCTGCACCACACCCCTTCCTCCGGAGATACTACCAGCGGCAGCTGTGAGTATTCTGGGGGCACACAGAGCACAGCCTCTCAGGCACACTGCTTCTCCTTGCTGGAGGTCTGGCCAGACCCTGCCAGGTAGCACCTGGCCTCTGGAATGGCTGGATGCACATAAACCCTGCAGGTCTCACTCGTCCCTTTGCTGCCCTTGCAGGTCCAGCACCTACCGCGACCTGCGGAAGGGAGTGTACGTGCCCTACACCCAGGGCAAGTGGGAAGGGGAGCTGGGCACTGACCTTGTCACCATCCCCCACGGCCCCAACGTCACTGTCAGAGCCAACATCGCTGCCATCACGGAGTCAGACAAATTCTTCATCAACGGCTCCAACTGGGAGGGGATCCTGGGGCTGGCGTATGCTGAGATTGCCCGGGTGAGTCCTGGCTGACAGTCCTGGATGACCCCACCAAAACGCTTCAGTTGCCTTTTTCCTTGTGCCTGTTTGTCCCCTGGGGGGTTGAGGAGAGCTCTCCTGGGTGCAGAGAGCTCCTGGAGAAGGGACAGCACTGACACATCCCTGTCCTGCCTCTGCTTTCTCCTCCCACCAGCCCGACGACAGCCTGGAGCCCTTCTTTGACTCCCTGGTGAAGCAGACACGGGTGCCCAACATCTTCTCCCTGCAGCTGTGTGGGACAGGCTTCTCTCCCAACGACACAGAGGCCGTGGCCTCGGTGGGAGGCAGCATGGTGAGCCCTCCACAGGTGGCTGGGGGGTTCCTTTGTGGCACTGCCAGCGCGTGGTGGCAGCGCCGTTCTGTCTGCTGTGCAGATCATCGGTGGCATCGACCGCTCGCTGTACGTGGGTGACATCTGGTACACCCCCATCCGCAAGGAGTGGTACTACGAGGTCATCATCGTCAAGCTGGAGGTCAACGGGCAGGACCTGAACATGGACTGCAAGGAGGTGAGCAGTGCTGGACCTGCCCCATGGGCACTGGAGACACACAGCAGTGGTCACAGGAGGCTGGGAGGGGAGTGGGCTGGGGTCCTGCACCTGGCTCACTCCTCCCCTTCTGCCCCCCAGTACAACTACGACAAGAGCATTGTGGACAGCGGGACCACCAACCTCAGGCTGCCGAAGAAGGTGTTTGAGGCTGCAGTGAAATCCATCAAGACAGCATCTTCGGTCAGTGGAGCCCATCCCTTCCCCACGGGCACGGCCCAGGGCAGGGCTGTGGGCAGTGTGGCTGCCCCTCACCAGCCTGGCATCTCTGCTGCCTGCCCAGCTTGGCCCCGCTCACCTTCCCTTTCCCTCTGGTAGACGGAGAAATTCCCAGACGGCTTCTGGCTGGGGGAGCAGCTGGTTTGCTGGCAGGTCGGCACCACCCCCTGGCACATCTTCCCCGTCCTGTCCCTCTACCTGATGGGGGAGGCCACCAACCAGTCCTTCCGGATCACCATCCTGCCCCAGGTGAGCGCTGGCCTGGCCAGACCCTGCCCAGGGAGCGTGGGCTGGACAGGGCAGCGCAGGCAGTGGGTGGACACAGCTGCCTCCCGTGCGCCTTCCCTGACTGCTGCTGTCTCCCTGCAGCAATACCTGCGCCCGGTGGAGGACGTGGCCACCTCTCAGGACGACTGCTACAAGTTTGCCATCTCCCAGTCCTCCACCGGCACCGTCATGGGCGCCGTGATCATGGAGGGTTTCTACGTGGTGTTCGACCGCGCCCGCAAGCGCATCGGCTTCGCCGTCAGCGCCTGCCACGGTGAGCTGGGCCCGCGGGGAGGGGATGGGATGGAGGGACGTGGGTGTGCAGAGACCAGACCCTGCCTCCCCCTCCCGCAGTGCACGACGAGTTCCGGACGGCCGCGGTGGACGGGCCCCACCTGCACTCCAACATGGAGGACTGCGGCTACAACATCCCGCAGACGGACGAGTCCACCCTGATGACCATCGCCTACGTCATGGCGGCCATCTGCGCCCTCTTCATGCTGCCCCTGTGCCTCATGGTGTTCCAGTGGCGCTGCTTCCGCTGCCTGCGGCGGGACCACGACGACTTCGCCGACGACATCTCCTTGCTGAAGTGACGGCGGAGCGCGGGCGCAGCCCCGGGCCGCAGGTGAGGCAGCAGGGCAGGGGCCTTGCTGCGGGGGCTGGAGTGTGGCAGCAGCGTGGGGAGCTCAGACCCTGTGCCCGGGGCCTGGGGACACGGTGTCCGTCAGGGCCAGCGGCCGGGGCAGCCCCAGGCCCGGGCTCCGTTCGTCTGGGACTGCAGCCGGGCAGTGGGAGAGCTCAGCAACCCCATCCTGGGAGCTGGAGGCAGCTGCTCTGCTCCAGCACCAGGACAGGACCAAGCTCTCCCACCCAGCCTTGCCTGGCTTGATGGAGTGACGCTGATGAGCCATCCCCTGCCTGTCCTCCTCCATCCCTGTGCGTCCCTTTCCATCTCGCCCCGCCGGGAAGCTGCCAGCCCACGCTCTCTTGTAGGGAGCTGTGCTGCAGCTGTGCCTCCCCTGTGACTCCCTGCACTGAGCCAGACTCCAGGGATCATCCTGGAGCCATCCAGCCTCGGGCTTTTCAGAGACAGCCCTGCAGGGCCAGCCTGGGCTGCCCGGACAGGGCTTTCCCTCCTACCCTGCTGCCCCTACACCGCTCACTGTCACATTTCCCCTGCGTTTTCCTGCCTTCCTGAGCTGTTCTGCCGCTGCTGCCAGCCCCAGGACTCCCTGCACCCTCCTGGGGCAGGCAGGAGCAGGCACCCATCCTCTCCTGGGGCAGGCAGGAGCAGGCACCCATCCTCTCCTGGGACAGGCAGGAGCAGGCACCCATCCTCTCCTGGGACAGGCAGGAGCAGGCACCCATCCTCTCCTGGGACAGGCAGGAGCTGGCACCCATCCTCTCCCCACATCACATGGGATGGGAAACTCCCTGCCCTGGCTTCCAGCATCAGCAGGGGCTGCCGTGCAGAAGCCAGTGCCAGGTGTGAAGTTCCCAGCCCTGGCACCGGCTGCTCCCCAGCCCACCCAGCCCTTCGAAAGCCATAGGGGAGCCTGGGCCCCCCCTGCAGCCCCCCACCTCACCGCCGGCACAGCAGCTCCTCCCTGCTCACTCCACACGTCCAGGCCTGGCTGTGAGACGCCCTGGCACGCCGGGGACAGGCGGCAGCTGCGGGAACTGCAGCATTTATTGTTTTGTAAACACATGGTTGTATTTATTTTGGTTTTGTTTTTTTTTTTTACAAAGCGTGTCAGTGGTAGCGCAGCTGCGCGTTGAGAGCGTGTACAGAGCCGGTCCCACGTGTACAGAGCACGGCTGCCTCTCACCTGTACAGTATATCCATACATCTCTATTTTTACTTCTAGCCCTGAAAGCCACTGTTCCAACATTAGGGGTCAGTCCTGTTTTGTTTTGGGGTTTTTTTTAAATCTTTTTAGCCTTCTGCTCAGTCCTCAGCCACTGTGGGCACCAGGGCTCACGCTGAGCCACGTGTGAGCACGTGATGGGGAGGGGGTCCCAGCTGGCTTGAGGAGGGGGTGCAGGGCTGGAGCACGCAGAGCAGTGGCTCACAAGCCCAGAAGGCACCTCTGTCCTCAGAGAGGATTTTCCAGTGTGTGAGGACAGCCCCCTCCTCCCCGTGCTGCAGGATCACCGTCCCTTCCCCAGAGCAGACACCCGTGACCTTGCAGGCAGTGCTAGTGCTGTATTCCCTTGCTTCTCTGCCTCCAGCCTGGGTGGGACAGAGCTCAGACACGGAGATTCCACAACGAAAAGGCATCACTCCTCCATGAACAAAGAGGGGATACCTGCAGTGCCGGGTCAGGCAGGGACAGACTGAGCACCCACAGCAATCACCGAGCTTAGAGCTTGTTAATCAAACCCTGCAGCCAAACGTTTCTCTGGGAAGGCAGCGAGGGAGCCAGGAAACACAGGCAGAGCGTGAGACCAGCCAGCCCTGCACGGGGCACAGCCACAACAGCTCCCACACTGCCCCTGCTCACACAGAGCCCCCCGGCCCCAGCCTCGCTCCAAACCCCACTCCCTGCAAGAGGGCAACGTTCTCCCCTTTGTCCTCGTGCCTGCCCAGGACCCCCAGGACCCCAGAGACTCTGTTGTGGACCACTGCCTTAAAACACAGCCCTGTGGCAGGCGAGCACCGGGGGCTGCCCTGGCCTCCCTGCGGGGCAGAGGGGCTGCCAGCCGTGCCCAGCCCCTGCCGCAGACCCAGGAACAGGGGGGCGATTTTTAGAGAGTCATTGCAAGATTTTCAGCGGTGCTGAGCACCTCGCAATCCCACTGAGATCCATGGAGAAAGGGTTGGTGAGTCAGCCCGTGCTTTGGGAGGAAGGACAGCAGAGGGGGACGCAGGAGTTGTGTGACAGGTTGGTTTATCCCGAGCTGCAGCGCAGCCGCGTCCCTGCGCTCCCTCCCCGGGCCCGGTGACAGCAGGGGATGGGACAGGACAGGACAGGACCGTGGGCTGTCGCTGGAGGCTCCAGTACTCTGTAACCCAGTGTCTATGTAAGAACAATGAATGTTAACACGGTAAATTATTATGACATTAAAATAAACGACCACAAAAAAATTGGCTCTTCGTCCGCAACTTGTTGGCTGGCAAGAGGGGGGGAGAAACAGGTGATGGCTGGCAGGGATGTGGGGGTGGTGAGGCATCAGGTGATGAGGAATGGCCCCAGGAAAGGAGCTGATGGCATCCAAGTGGGAGGTGTGAGGTGGCTGAGGCAGTTCCCAGCAAGCAGGGAATGCTGACCCTCATTTGGGAGAAGCCAGCAAGGCTGCAGACTGAGAAATGAGGAGCTGCAGCAAATCACTGCATAATATACACACTTTATTTATGAATTTGTATGTTTACAGACTTTCTATACACACATTACCTATATAATAAAAATGTACATGTGTATACATGATCGTATAAATATAGAACTGTAGAAATCTTAGAACTGATCCTGTCTATTCACAGCAACTCCTCCCAGGGGCCCACGTTGTCCCAGCAGCCGTCATTTGAGGCTTGGGCAAAAGGGGCAAGTGTCATTCGTGTTGGTTTGTGCCCAGAACTTGATGCACTGGAAGAGAGAGAATTAGTCAAGAGCCACTGGCCCAGCCCAGAGGTGCCAGCATTGTCCACAGCACTCGCTTCAGGGCTGGTTTCCTCTGCTCCTTGCAGCCTCCATCACAAGTCACCGTGAGGAAGGAGCCCTTGTCACCCCTGCAGGACCATCAGGCCCTCCTCAACAGGAGTTTCCATTTCCTTGGGCCACTGCTGGAGAGCAGTTGGGATGGGGGGCTGCCCACACAGGTGACCCACTGCCAGACCCATGGCAAGAGGAGGGGACTTTCCTGTCCCAAGAGCTCCTGTCTGGCATCCCCAGCCCAGACACCTGGGCAGCAGTGGCAGCTCTCCCCTCACCCTGTGTTCCAGACCCTTCCAGACTGTCTGGCTCCAGCATCCAGCCCTCACAGACACAGCACAGGCTCAGGGACACAAGGGCAGCCTGTTCCTAAAGCCACCACCCACTGGCCACGCAGGCTGGCCCAGCCACGAGTAAAGGATGGGATGACAGGAGGCAGGGAAGCTGTTTATTGATCGTACCCTTCTCCTGGCAAGGTGTCAGGACAACAAGGACTCAGGAAGGGTCACCTGGAAGGAGCAGGAGGAGGCCCTGAGCAGCAGAACACACTCACCTCCTTGTGCAGCACATGTGAGCAGGCCATGGGGTGAAGGTCACCGGGCTGCACGAGCTTCTGGCACATCAGACACAGCTTACAGGCAGCTGGGGTCTGGGAGGGGCAGTGAGGGAAAGAAAGGAGCAGGCAGGGGAGTCAGACACACAGCTCTGATCACAGATTCAGCTGCAGCCTGAGGCCACAGCCCCCTCTGCCCACAGCCATCACGCGTGTCCCTGTTTGTGTGAAACACAAAGGATCTGTGCCCCCAGTCCTCCCCTCCACCTCAGCAGCCCAGGTAGCTGCGTGAGGAGATCTCCCAGCTGCAGGGGCTCATCCTCTATCCTTTCAGGACACCCTCCCCAGTCCCCAGGGAAGCCGAGCCAGCAGCCTTACGTGTGACGCTGCTCCCGGGTAGGCGACCTGGGCCGGGGGCAGGAACATGGGCGTGCTGATCTGAGGCAGGGGAGCAGAGAACATGGGGGCCCTGATCCGGCCCAGAGGCTGCAGCGAGGCAGAGGAGGCACGTCAGAACAGCCCGGGAGGAAAGGACACAGGAGTCCCCCCAGGGAAAACTGCTGCCTGGTTACGCTGCAGCCAGCAGGACAGGGAGCCCAGGGGACAGCCCTGAGGCATGGCCCGAGCCCTGCGGGGAGCCAGGGAGCAGAGGCAGCTCTCCCTGCTCCCCAGGCCCCCCTCCAGCAGCCCCCAGGCTGTCCCACCTGAGCTCCAGCCGCTGCCCGCTCCTGCTGCTCTGCCAGCTTGGCTGCCACCAGCTGGTTCAGCTCCTCCATGGTCAGGCCGGCCATGGTCCTCCGGGCAGTCTTGATCTGCTGCAGGATGTTGGTCAGCTGGGCCCTGCAGGAACAGCAGCCTGCTAAGAGCTCCTGGTCCTCACACAGCGGGATCCCTCAGCCACAAGCCCTGTGCTTCCCCTCTATCCTCCAAGTGAGGTGAGCCACGTGCTGAGCGTTTTCTTATCCCCAAAACGCTGGGGATAGAGCAGGGAACCCCCAGAGACAGGCTGGCAGTGCCCAGATAGCCCTGCTGTCCTGCAAAGCTCCCAGTGATCCCCAGCGCTAGGGCAAACCTGATGGAGACCACTGCAGGAGTGTGTGTGCTCCTTAATGACAGAGTGGCAAAACTAGCCTTTGTCCCCCAAAAAAGGAAAGAAGCCTACAAGTTTTTCTCAATGATTAGGTAAAAAGCCACCTCACAGGACCTTCACCAAAAACTTGAGGACAGCTAATTGGATAGAAGCCAAAAAGTCTCGCTTGAACCATTAGGTAGAAAAAGAAGAGAACAAAAGAGCTAAGTGCTTTTGTGAGGTGTTCTTACCAGGAGCAGACCTCTGCACCTGGCTCGGGTTTTTCTGATTGTTATTTTGCCTTTTATTAAACCTTTTTGTTTCTAACACTGCAGCAGAAGTCACCCTGCTTATTTTATGCCCCCAAAATAACAGCTGAGCTATCCTTGGGTGTATTATATTTCTTTTGAGAGCTTATGAGACCCGGCCCAAGAAAAAGAAATATAACAGACCACCACCTCTGCGTGCCTCCCTTCCCGCAGACCCCACTGACACCAGGAGCCCCCCTTCCCCTGAACCCAGCTCCCACCGCACTCACAAACCCCTGCCCTCCCAAAAACCAGCAGAGCCTCACTTGTTGCACTGTGGAAAGCGAGTGAGCAGCTTCTCCAGCAGCTTCTCCAGCTTGTCGGCCGGCTGGGGCCGGTGGAAGTCGGGGGCCACGCTGACGCCCAGGCCGGGCGGAGGGGGGATGGAGGGGGGCATGTGGGGGCTGTGCGTGCCCAGGAGCGAAGCCACCACCGGGCTGCTCCTCCCCTGGGACTGCGGCAGGGGTGGGGAGGGCTGGTTGGGCCTGGACATGGCGGGGTTCAGCAGGGGGAAGGAGAGCGCCCGGGGGTCGGCGCTGGGCATCACCATGGGCACGGGGACGGGCCCGATGGGGAAGGGGAGCCGGGGGGTCAGGGATGGGCTGGGCTGGAATGCCGTCAGCATGAAATCTGTCTGAGAAAGAGAAGCAGGGCAGGAGGGAAAGGCTGGTTAGAGTAAGACCACCTGGAAGCAGGGCCCAGCGGCCTCTTCTCCAGGCAGCGGGGTGGGAACTGCAAGCACTGGCAGCTGGAAAGGGAAGGGAAGGAGACCCTTCCCTGCCTCTCTGGTAAGCCCAGACAGGGAATGGGCCATCCCACACATGGCCAGCAGCAGCAGGCTGTGCCAGGGCTGGCATGGCCGTGCTGTGGGGCTGGAGAGGCACTCACTTCCGAAGGCGGAGGAGGCAGCGTCGGCGTGGGGATCTGGGGGAGGCTGCTCAGCTTCGTGCCATTCCTCACCATCTGGATGTGGTCGTTGAACTGATCCTAGCACAGAGGGAAGAAAACAGGCACGTTATCAAACCTGAGCAAGTTTGGGGCATTCTAAGCCAGGGGGTGGCAGGCCCTAAAGTGGCACTGTTGGCTCCACAGAAGAATGGAGAGGAGCTGAAGGGTGTGTGTGTGTGAAGAGCTGCTCACTGCTAGGCTGGGAGAGGTCAGCAGGAACTTACTCGGACACTTTGCTTGGTCATACGTATCCTGTTCAGCCTCATCTCCCACTCCTGCTTTGGCCTCATGGTCTCCAGCGTGGGCGGCGCAGACCTGCAAGCACAGCTGAACTTTCCCACTTGCAACTGTGCTCTCACTGCCTGCAAAGTGGCACCAAGCAACCCCCACACCCTCCTGGCTTCCCCTCCTCCAGCAGGGTGGGAAAGGCTCACCCCCAGGTGAGGCACCCACAAGGGACAGGGACTGACCTGGGGGACACACAGGGACACCACAGCCAACAGCACCAACAGGCTGAGCCTGGCAGATGAACAGTGACAGGGGATAAGCACAGCCCCACATCCCCTTGCTGTGAGACATTATGGAATCACACTGATCCAGTAAGAAAACCACAGGAAATCCTGAACTATTCCAGTCCAACGCAAGCAGAGGAAGAGGAGATGGGACACGGGGACACCGGAGTGACCCTCCCTGCCATTTCTGACACAACACAGACTTACTTGAGGTAGGTGAGGTGTAGCTCTGCTTCTTTTTCCGCTTCTTCTAGTTTCAGCACCAGCAGCTCCTTGCGGCTCTCCAGGGACAGGATCTGTGGAGAGAGGCTCAGTTTTTGTACTCCCATTTCTTGCTGCCAGACCAGGCACTGGGCACGGCTCCCTGCTAACGCTCACTGCACTGACACGTGCTCATCTTTCCTCTCATCCCACAAAGTGGCACTTGGCCCTGCTCCTAACTTCACAGCACTGTCCATTACCCAGCTGGAATCTCAAACCAGCCACTTTGCAGGGAGGGAGTCACCTGCTCACCTCTGCTTTCCAGGCCCGCTCTGTCTCCTCAAGAATGTTCCTGTTGATTTCATTGTGCTGGTTCTTCAGCTTGTCCAGCTCCATCTCCCACAGCTGCCTGCACACAGAACACAGCAGAGCAGAACGAGCCCCCTCAGGCACTGGAATGGTCCCAAAGGATGGATCCCAGGAGCTCTGGATGGGCTGGAACCATGGCAGTGACACCATCCCCAGCTCCCTGGGCTGTGTGAGTCACTGTCCCAGCAGTGAGCTGTTCCACAGCACACAAACAAGCATTGTGCAAAGGCACTGGGCCAAACGAGGGGAATCACCCTCAGCAAAATTCAATCCAATCCCAGGGAGGATCTGAGCCAGGAATCAACCTGAGCAGCAGGCAGAGCTATGCTGTTCTGATCCTGGAGAAGTTTAAAGCTGGGCATTTCCAGCTGTGCTTTGGGAACACCTGGAGCATCCCTGCCCAGCTTTAAATACCCGAGCGTGCCAGGGTTCAGTGTAGCTGGACAGCTGTGGGGAACAGACAGGGAAATCAGTCTGCCCTAATTCTGGGGAGGTGAAATGCAATCAGAAGTAGCAGTTACAAGCTGAGTCAATCCACCAGGCACAAACTCTAATCTTATGGGATCTTTATGTCACAAGTACCCAGGAGTCTGCTTGTGACTGGGATCAAGGAAGATTTAATCCAGAGCCCTGATGCTGAAAGAGGAGATAAAACCTCCAGGGCACGTAACTGGCCAGCACTGCTGGCTCATTGTCTCTGCTCTGTCCCAACCAAGAGCATGGGATTCCCTCTGAGGCAGAATGACAGGAAGGAACAGTGCCCTGGGCAGCACTAATCAGGTGAGGGAAAAGAGCCTTACTTCTCATCAGACTGCTCTGCAATCAGAGAGGCAATCTTGTTTTCCTTCTCCTCCTGCTCCTTCAGCAACCTGCACGAGAGGAAAGGGACAGCAGAGCTGGAATGCCACGGGAGCAGGGCCCACATTCAAACACCCCCAGGGCCAGCCCCACAGCACGGGCTGGGGATGGCTCCCTGCAATGTGTGTGGGAAAAGAGCCACCAACAGCCCCTGGAGCACATGGGACAGAGCCCTGCTGTCTCAGGGCACTGCACAAAGGCTGTGGCACAGAACCAGGCTGGCTGCAGGCAGCTGTGCTGCTCCCCCAGCCCGTGCTCTGCCACGGTCACTTGGGGGAAAAGGGCTGAGCACCTCGAGCCATCACTGGAGGGGTTTTACCCAAAAACACCACTGAGCCCTCAGAATAAAAACCAGACCTCTAGGACATGACAGAATGGCTCCATAAAAATGCCAATTCAAATATAGGGCCTATCCTAAATTCATCCATACACAGGTCTGACCTCAATACTTGCTGCTTCCTAAAAGTTTAAAGCTCTTTACTCCATCAGGTTTGTATCACGGTTAAGCAAGGTCTTCTTCCCCAAAAAGAAACACTTTCTTTTCTGTAAAAATACCTTCTGCCTTTCTCACAGAGTTTCTCAATTTCAGCTTTGAGATCCTGCTCTTTCTGCAGGAATTCTTTCTTTTCTTTCTCCATCTTTTTCTTAGTCTCTTCTCGCTTGATCGTAACATCCTGAATGGCTTTCAGGATCTCCTGGAGTAAAAGAAGCATCACACAGATACAGAGCAAAATTACCAAGTATGATTTTGATTTAAAATATATTATTTTTTTATTAATTAATTAATGAGATTACACAGCAAATTCCTTCTTTTTAGCAGATCCGGTCAAGATATAAATTGGTCATTATGAGGAAACTCAGGAGATTGATGCCGTGCACTGCAGGTTCTCCTACCTCCTCATAAAGACTTCAAAACTAGTAACAGTGCAGGCTAAACAAAAACAATTCTTCACCAAATACCTGGTGGTTTTTCATCTCCTCTTCCCTCCGCTGCTGGAGCTGCTTAAGCTGGACCTGCAGCTGATTCTCCACCTGCCTCTGTTTGTCCAGCACCTCCTGGTAGCGCTCCTTCAGCAAAGCCCGCTCGGACATCATCTTGTCCTGCAGGGGAGAGCAAAACTCCTCTGTAGCAAGGACAGCCTGTAACAAGACCTCAAGGCTGACATCTGATGGTCTTGCCCTTTTCCAGCTGTAATGATTCTGTGATTCTGTTTTGACAGGAATAAAGCGGGAAGAACAGCTCCTGCGCCCGGAGTGTGAGCGGCAGAGCCGGAGCACAGGGCCTCCATACCCACCAGGTTCTTCTCGATGTCCTGGTCCGTGCTCACGTCCGCGTCGGCCGCCTTGAAGTCGGTCTGTGAAGGGACACGACTGAGATCAGCCCCTGCAGTGACCAGAGAGGGGCTCCAGGCCCTCCCTGGGCACCTGCTCCAGTGCTCTGCCACCCTCCACAGAAAGGAGTTCTCTGTCATATTGTGATGAAACTTATTTTAGTTTATGGCCATTGTTCCTCATCCTACAGCTGGGCACCAACAAAAAGAAGCTGGCACCATCCTCTGACACCCCCTGGAGACATTTATATGCATTAATGGGATCCCACCTCAGACTTATCCAGAGCAACGAGGCCCAGCTCCTGCAGTCTCTCCTTATAAGAGAGATGCTCCAAACCCCTCATCATCTTCACAGCTGCACCCTTCTTCAGTAGCTCCTTGTCCTTCTTATACTGCGGAGCCAGTCCTGAACACACCACTCCAGCTATGGCCTCATTAGGGTCAAATTTTAATTAAAGATTAATTAAAATTCAAGCACGGGCACACAGCAGCGGCTGCAAAGCTGCAAGTACAGATGCGTTTCACCCTTCGGCCACGGCTTACTCAGTTCTTTGTCCTCCAGCTTCCACAGGAGCCTTGCAGAGCACAAACCCCGCGATCCCCGGGGGAGCTGCACCCACCTGCACCGCGATGTTCTGCGACGGCCTGCCCGGGGCCGCCTCCTCGTCGGGCTCCTCGGCCGCCGCTCCGCTCTGCCCCGCCGCCTCGGCGCCGCCGGGCTCCGCATCGCCGCCGGGGCCGGGGGCGGCCGCGGGGTCCGCCTCCCCGCCGGGCCCGGGCTGCCCGGGGCTCTCCGGGCCGGAGAGCGGGCTGCCGCTGCGCGCAACGGGGACATCGGTCAGCGCTGCGCCGCGGCCGCACTGCCGCTCCATCCCCGCTCCATCCCCGCTCCATCCCCGCTGCCGCCCCGCCGGGCCCCCCCTTACCTGCCGGGCGGCGCGGCGGGGCCGGGCTCGCAGAGGCGCGGCGGGTCGGGGCCGTCGACCTGCGCCTGTTCCAGCG